ATATTTTAATAATTTTATTAAAGACCTTACAGTCGAAAATTGATGAATAATATGAATCCGCGTGACTATCAAAACGCCTTGCAAAGAGTTTGTATTATTAAAACTTGTGATTTCTATATAATTGTTTTTATTTCTAACTTTTATAGCTCCATTTGCAACTGAACTTAATCAAGAAAAAAAAGCTGCACGATCGCCTCAGGCTGGACTATAAAATTGAACAATTGGATAGAAAAATTGAATACGTAAAATTGCGTTTAAAGGATGCAACAAAGAAATAATATAACTATGAATGTTGAGCCAAAAGAAATGGAAAACATTAAGAATTCAATTATACATAATTAAAAACTATTGAACAGTAAATTTAATAAAATTATATACTGTTTTATATAAAAAAAAACAACAATTTCTTCATTAATAGAATCAGTCATTAGTTAAGTTGTCTACTCTGAGGACATTACTCCTCAGTTTCTCGACTCAGTTCGGAAATCCTTTAAGAAATTCGAAACAAACATAAAGCTCTTGGACTTAAAATTCATTTATTGAATAGATTTTCCAGTTGACTTATTTTGTTTGTCATTTTGGCAGGAACTGGAAGTTCAAAAATTTTTTCAAAATTCAAACTCAATAGTCAAAATTGCATTGCTGTGCATAATTTTCATTATGGACGGTTTATTCGGCTGCAGATTCAAAACAGCTTTTAACCTGTTTAATCCTCAACGTTGTTTTTCCTTCCAATGCGTTAGGTGAGTCTTAGATCCAATGCAAAGAAGACTTAATATAATCGAGTAACATTCTTTTGTAGATCTAAGTCTGCAAAGTATTACGAAAAAATACCCAAGGAATACAGCAGCCCCAAGTTACTCAAAATGGTGCGTACCTGACTCAATATATGTATGTAGTTAAGCAATATATAATTTCCATTTCCATTAGCAATACGACGCACTTATGGACTTGAGGCGTCAAAAGATGGCTGAACGAAGACAACTGGACTATAAAATCCTGGACCTGCAGGATAAAATTGATGAGATAAGGGACTTGATAAGATACTAATCAGCTTGATGAAACAAATTCAGGAAACAAATATGCTTTTATACTATTATTGCTAACCAATAAATTCTCCGCTTGAAAACATTTTAACATTTGACTTTCATCCCATCGTACATCTATCGTATACCTAGTATGAATCGTAGTAGGCGCCATAAAAACTTGCTCATTGTTTGTATAGTTCAGGTACATTTTAAAGTAATTAGTTGACTGAACTTTCCAAATTTTTTAATTGAATTTATACCAGGATTATGTTGTTCATCAAATTTTCGTATCGACTTTTTATGGGCGCTTTTAGTGCCAACTCGGAAAATTCAGTGCTGAGCAACATGAGTAATATATCCTTGCATACGAAGCATGTCACAGATATCCATGAGAGAGGCAAGGCCAGAGAGAACGTTTACTTTCGAAAACAAGTTCGGATTCGCATACCGCATTCGTATATTCACGATATCAATATTAATATCTATCTCCATTCGCAGCAATACGATCAACTAAAAAAATTAAAGAAAATCAATGAGGAGCAAAAGGCGAAAATTAATGAGAAAATTGATAAGTTATATGAAGAGATTGAGGAGATCTCGACAGAGATTGAGAAAATGAAAGATGACAAATGAATGGCAGTTCGACTCAAGCCTAACTAGGTAGGTCTTGACAAACTGTCCCCAAAAAGTTTTGGCAAAATGTAAAGTCAAATCAAATTTCAAAATTTTTCTGTTCACACAATACCTCTTTAGACATTTTTTTTTTTAAATTATAATGCTGCCTGTGTTCAAGGCGCTTGAGTCCGTTCGGTTTGTCAAACCGATCTTTGATGCAATTCCACAGGGCTCGATTTTTATCATGTCTCGTCATTATACCAAGGAGATTTATGAGAGAGCCCGTGCCGTAGAGAATGCGCATTTTCTGAAAATTGTGCGTAAATATAACTAGATATTGCTGTACATACATGGATATCCTTACTAACGATTTCCTTCTGTGGCCAAAGCAAAATGAGCAGCTCAGAAATCTGCGGAACAAAATTGCTAGAGAAAGAGGCCAGCGGGAGCATAAAGTGGAAGCCAGTTTGCAAATGAAGAGCCAAAAGGCGGACAGCAATCGGAATTTGCATCAGACTCAAAGTGTGATAACCCAGCAAGCAGATAATTAAAATGATGTTTTTGTGATAAATTAGTAAAATGATTGTGGAAAAACGGGGCCAAGTCGCCGACTCGATCAGTAGGCTGATGCATATCTACTAATCTTTTGATTGAGCTACCTACTTTTTTTTTTTTTTTTTTTTGGAACAAAATTCAAAATTCTTCATTCGATAACATGTGGATCTGCGTTCAGCACAGAGGTGCGGTAAGGAATATCATCAGGTTGCTGCAAAGGACATATCAACAGAACCGCATAACCGAAGATGAAAAGGCGAAAATTACCAAAGCAAAGGTAAGAGACACAGTCGTAGTCGCAATCCAATAAGAAACCCATTTCTTATTCGATCCCTGCTCTTTTTCCCCCAGATCTCGGCTATGTGGAGCAAACAAGTTGAGAATTTATTGCGGGTACGTAGCACTCGCTGTATAGGAACTTAAGATCTCTTTACAATTTTCAAAATTCCCTCTTTAGAAACGTGAAATGTTGTCCCTCATCAGGGAATATATTGTGCTGCAGGAGCGCTATGTGAGCTCAAGATTGACAACGAACAAGCGGCTGCTCGCCCATGCAAAATACTTACAAGTCACCAGGAAAAGATCTCCACTGTAGACAGATGTATATGCTAGCCATTGAAATGGGATATGCCACGGTGATCTTCATATTTTTCATTAAAAAGTACTCATCATTTTATTTAAAATAGTTTGTATTTCTCATTTACAGTTGCTTTACAGGAAGCGTTACATAACAGAGGTAAACAAAATAAAAATAAAAACAGGAAAATAATGCTGCTTTCAAATGTTTTTCTTTGTTTAAGTATACATATATATATATATATATCGGCATATATATAGTTCATAGAGTGCCAGACAGCATTTCAATTTAATTAAATATGGCATTTAAAACAAAAACATTTCCGTTACATAGAGAATAAATATGAAATCAGCATTCAAAATTTTGATCATATAATAGTAGGTAGGGTATACGCGTAATACAATAAAGTGAATAACTTAAGCTCTATAATAAGATAAAAAGATTTTGTTGTTGTTGTTGTGTTGTGCATTTCGTTAGTCGAACTCAAGTCAAGAATATATATATATATCCATATATTTATATATATATTTTGTTTTTATAAGTACATTTTAAAATACATTTGTGGTAAGTAAAGTGTGTGTGTCAGTGTGCGTGTGTATGTAGGTTTTGAGCAACATGGAGAGCTGTTACAAGTACTACAACTAAAACTAAAACTAAGTAGAACTAAAAACTTGAATGCGTTCGGGCGTATTCACAAATCACTTGACTTGGTCAAGTGCCGAGCCACAAGAAACGCCGCGCCTCTCGACTCCCGCCCCAACCGCTCGCTGCTAAGTGTTGTGTGTCTGTGTGTGCTTGTGTATGTGTGTGTGTGTGTGAGGTAGGCTGTATGCTTGGGCTGTTTCTGGTTGTATTCGGGGCGAGAGTCCTTTAACTATATCAAATAATATGGCATACTTTTGTGCGCCACTGCAGCTGCAAAGCGAAATGAGCTGCCGTCTGTCTCTGTCTGTGTATGTGTATGTATATGTGTGTGTGTGTGTGTGCTTCTAGCTTTTAAATACTGGTCAAACAATGCCAGGAATGTTGTGAATTGCAGCTCAATGTGTCCTTGTCCGTGTCTGTGTCTGTATCTGTATCTGTGTCTGTTTGTGTGTGTGTCTGTGTGTGTGTATTTGTGCCTTTGCCTGTCTGTCTCTGGATACAAAATTGATTCTTAGTCTAAAATTTAACTTTAGCTACGCCCTACGTGCTAAGTGCTACGTGCTACAAAGTTACAGCTACAACTATAACAACGATGAAAACGATGATAATCAAGCAGTTAACGTTCCGCCCAGCGCTGCTCTAACTGGGCAGCCGCTTGCTGGCCAACTCCTGCAGCTTCTGCAGCGCCAGCGTCTTGTTAATCTCGACCAGATCGCGGCTGTGCTTGGCCGCCTGCAGCTGGACCTCCAGTATTTTCATGCGCATCATATGCTCCTTGCTCTGCATCTCCATGAACATGCGCAGCTCAAAGGAGTTGGCTGTGCTGCTGCTGCTGGTAAGRGCGCCGGCGACGGCGGCGGCGCTGCTGCTGCTGCTGCTGCCAGCGCCAACGACGCTGCTGCTGCTGCGCTCCAATGCCTGGCTGTCTGAGGAGTGCGGCACAGTGCTGGCCAGTGGCAGTGGCAGGGGCAGCGATGTCTGTTGCTCCTCGCTGGCCAGACTGCTGCTGCTCGTGCGCTGGCGCTTGGCCATTGGCTTCAGCACATCATCGTCGTCCTCATTGTTATTGTTGTTGTTATTGTTGTGCTGATGTTGCTGCTGCTGCTGCTGCTGCTGTTGTTGCTGCTGCTGCTGCAGTGCCGCAGCCTGCGCCTGATGCTGCTGTAGAGCAACGGCAGCTGCTGCTGCGCTCGGGAATTGGCCACTGCGCAGCGCATTGAGCGCCTCCAGCGTAGCGGATATGTTGTTCATGTTGAAGCTAGGCTGAAAGCCGGACATATCGCCCCCAGTGGGTGGCATGAAGGCGCCACCAACGGCGCTCGTGTCCAACGCAGCGGCCGCCGGACTCTCTGACTCGCGCAGGCCGTTGCGACTGTGATTGGGCGACACACTCAGACGCTCCCCATTGGCATGGATGTCGCTGCTGTGATTGTTGTAGGTCTCATTGAAGGTCTCGTTGGTCTCCTCCTCCTTGATGTCCACATCGCATAGCTCCTGGGGCGGTGTGCGACTGCTGCAATTGGCAGGCGGCGATATTGTAGAGTTAGTTTATGATTTCTCAGCTGATCTGATCGGATTTTTAAGGCTACTCACTCATCCATGTCGTGCTCATCGGCATTGAATTTGTAATCATCGCGATATTCAAAGTCCTCCTCGAGAGCCAGCGGTATTTTGGAGTAGTCAATGCCGTCGAGCGCCTCCGACTTGCAGGCCTTTTTCGCCTCCTGCATAAAGTCCCAGACCTCGAAGGTGAACGGCGAGGGCTTCTTGCGATCGGCCACCTCGGCGCCAAACCTGGCCAGACGATTGTTATAGTCAAGGATCTCATTACGCGTGCAGGCTGCAAATGACATCAATTGATTAGCTTCAAGTCTGGATTAATGCGAATTAGCTCAAGCTCACCTTTCATGCGACGCCATTGCTCCTTGAGGCGATTGCAGGTGCGATCGGTGCCAAATTGATTCGAGAACTTTTGATGTATGATCTTCCAGGCCTTGTTCTTGACGGCAGTTAGTCCCGCATCGAGTCGCTTGTTCTCAATGATGCGCATATCCTTGCGGCACAGATCCAGCAAGTACTTCTTCTCCTGATGATTCCAGTTCTGTGTGCGCTCCCGCTTCTTATACATGTTCATGGATGGACTGTTCATGTATTGCGTCATTTCTGCAATTATATCGAACGGATTGCAATGCCTGTCGAATGGGAATCAAATCTAAGGGGGGTACTCTACCTGTCTTCAGATCGACACCTTCCAGCAGATTGTGGTTGGTGCTCTGCCAGTTGGCGGCTATCTTCATGAAAGCCTCCAGATCGTTGGCCGTGTACTGTTTGTTCACCTGCAACAATTAGAAAACACATACGTTAGCCATTTGCATCTCTCCCAGTTACAGGTTAATTAAATCCGCATTATAATCCAAACCAATCCCAGTTCAAACTGAGCCCCCGCATCGAGCTACTTGGGCATGCAAAGCTTGTGCCGGCTGAGGCTTGTGAAACGCTTTAAGACGCACTTGAAGATTCATTGAACCTGAAGTTTTCGACTCAAATTCCAATTGTCAGCAAAAGCCAAAAATAAAAGAGACTAAAAAGCGCAAAGCAAAAACAAAAGAATGAAGGATTCGAGCTCGTTCTCGTTCTCGTTCTCATTCTCATTCTCTTTTCTTTTCATTTCTTTTTTTCTTCTCTCTGATTTCTGACAAGCGCGTCTGACATCGTCTGATATTCTGATATGCTGCCAATATGCGATGCCACATTAATTGATTTTCAATTAGCCAACAGACGGCAGTTGCTAGACAAAGGGGGCCAAGGCAAGGGTCGAGGGGCGAGGGGCGGGCGAGAGAGGGACGCGAGACGTGAGGCTTCACACGAAATTTAAATGTTTGCAGGTCATTTTGAAATGGGCCAAGATATTATGAATAACAATGATTGCAAATGCATTTGTATAAAGAGAATCAAATAAATTGTATCCAAAGAAACACACACACACACAATAATAACACTCTCTCAAACAACAGCTGCCGACATTTTGTGTGCTTTTAGCTGTATGCTCGTGTGCATGTGTGTGTGTTTGTATATATCTTTCAGGGGCGATCAAACGTCGCACTGACAGCCAATTATATTAAGATCGAATAAACTTGCACACACACACAGATAAACACACATACCACTGCAGCGAGATTCTTCATAATCGGCTGTACACATATAGCCAATATGACCATACTTTATATATATATATA